AGAGGCACCCTACTCCACAAGCGAGCCTCCTGCACGAAATCACCGATCACCTGGCTTTACCTGCTCCATGGTTTGGGTAGTTCATCACTCTGTTTCATGTTTTGGCTCCTGGTTCAGCTGCTGCTCCTCTGATAAATTACAGCTGCTTTCTGGATCTAGGAGGTGCAGTGCACAGGGATCTAGGATCCAGAGGATTCTCTCCACTCTTGGAGTTTGCTGGTAATGAGATCCCTCCTCCTGCTTCTCAGAGGGCTCATTTTATACACAGCAGAATGGCATTCCAACGAATCCTGTTCCCAATTACTCACAGGTGAATCTTATCAGTATCTCTCTTACCCCACCTTCAGTTTTGACTCATGCAGGACAAGATCTTTTTTTTTTTTTTTTTACAGGACAAGATCTTTTGGCAGGAGTTAGACCTTGGCTGGAAGAGCCACATTAAGTAATTCACTGTCCCTGCATTGGTGTTATCCAAAAAACAAACCCAAACCAATCCTATTGATAGGCTTTCTCACAAGGTGTTGTGTTGGTTGACTCAGGTGACTTCTAGGCTGTGAATCTGTGCAAGAGCAGATAGCCTTCTCTTTCTCCTTTGGAGTGACCGCTGCCCTTTCAGTTAGCTCTCTAAAGCATCCCACCAGGATAGGATTTCTCATTTGCTAACTTTTTCACAAGTCAGAACAGTTTATGTACATCTTATTTGCTGGCATAGTGGATTACTTCTTGGACTGCTAACTCCAAGGTCAGCAGTTCAAAACCAACAGCTGCTCCAACAGGGAGACACCTGTCCCCTCCCACAATAGGAAGAAAGACAAGGCTTTCTATTTCCAGGAAGATGTATAGTCTTTGGAAGCCCACAGGGGCAATTTTAGCCTGTCCTATACTGTTGCTTTGAGTTAGAATTGACTTGATGGTAGTTTGTTTTGGTTGATTCTTATAACTTGATTCTTATAAAAAGATTATTTATTTGACAGAATTTATTAACTAAGTTTTTATGATGTGTAAAGTATTTCTGTTTATTGTGAAACAGGATAAAACTTTTAGAGCAGCTTTTGAACTTTTTACAGAATTCTGGAATTTAACAGACAACAATGACAGGCCATGCACAAAGATGTATTTGTTGTAGACATCGTTTGTCTTTGTTAACTCAGAAATCTTTTAAGTCTTGTTAATGAGATTGAGGTTGTGATGAATTAGGTATGAAAACAAAAGGATTTTTCTCACAATTTCCTTAAATTTGATATACGTTAAATTCATTAATTTTATCCCTTGGAAAGATTTATCTAGTCTCTGAAATCCAGTTTAGGAGAAGACTAGGTTAATTTTTATGGTATCATTTTATGTTTCTATTTCTTTAGTTTATTTTCCCCCCTTGTTTTTTATGTAGCTGTCATTAAATGCCAAGTAGTTTGTATTATAGTCCTTCTTGGGTTGGAAAGAAATGTTTTTCTTTTGTTATTAAATATTTCTCTTGGCTAGTAATAATGATAAAGAACAAAACATTCAATGTTTCCTGTTTTGTGCCTTAAAATGATATTTTATAACATACTCATGGGATTTGACATCATTCTTTTCATGATATTTCTCAAGCAGGTTCATTCTACTATATATGCACATACTCACATGCACACATACATATAGTTATGTTTTTTAGTCAACACTTTAGGGCTTCATTTCAAATATTGGCATCAAATAGAATTTGATGTCTTATTAACAAAGCAGTGATATCAGTTTTGCTTTTAGAATTCAGGCAGTTTACTTAATACATGAAGAAAAAGAGTCCTACTTATCATGTCTCTTAAATGCAACTTTTAGAAATGACACATGTACAGTAATTTTTGTTCCTAAGGAAGCTATACTAAGATAATATGGTGATCAGTTATTGTATATAAACTAAGTAGAGGTAACTTTTGATGTACCTATTCATGGTTCGTATGGAGTCCTGGTGGTGTAGTAGTTACCCATTGGGCTGTAATCCACATGGTCGCTGGTTCAAATCACCGGCTACTCCGCAGAGGAAAGACTGGGCTTTCTAGTTCCATAAACAGCTATAGTCTCAGAAACCCATAGAGCGTCGCTAGGAGTTGGCATTAACTCCATTGACTCGATGGCAGTGAGTTTTTCTAAGTCCATGCACAGGTGATTAAAGATAGCAAATATATAATAAAATACTGTTATTTTTCTTTAAAACTTATTACAACTTTATTGTTACATTAATCTGAATGCATTGGGGAAAATGTGGCTTTTCTGACGCTTCTCGTTCTCTTACCATTGCCACCTTTCTCTTTTTGTTTCTTTGGTCTTGTTTTCCTTTTTTATCATTTTATTAGGCGCTCATAGAGCTCTTATCACAATCCATACATCCATCCATTGTGTAAAGCACATTTGTACATTCATCGCCCTCATCATTTTTAAAATATTTGCTCTCCACTTCCATTGCCACTTTTCTGTGCTGTAATTGTTATTTGATAATTTGCCCTTACTGGATTGCTCATTACAGAACTAGAACCGTGTCTTAGCTTTTTATCTGTCTAGACTAGAAGCCTGTTATTTAGGTACCCAATAATATAATGAGTAACTTCTCACCCTCAATAGTGTATATGAGCATGGACTACAATTAACCATATTCATCTGAGAAAAGAATTCTCGACTCTACGTAAGACAATCATCCTCAGTTGATGGCCTAAAAGTCATCTCAATTTTGCTAATAATTCTAACTGAATATAATCTTTTATGGTTTTTGATTAATAATACTTACCAAAATCAAACCAAACGCAGACCCTATAGGAGAGAATAGAATTGCTCTGGAAGTTCTCCAAGACTGTAAATCCTTACAAAGGAAGACCACCTGGTCTTTCTCTTGTTATTGGCTTCAAGTGGCTTCAAACTGTTGGCCCTTTGGTTAGCAACCTAACACTTAACCCCCTACATCATGAAGACGTCTTACAAAGCGTACGGTATTCTTTATTCTTTAAATGTTGTGTCTCCCCTTTACAGTTATCTCGGGTAGGAGCAGGCCACTTGCCTTAACAAGGCCCATAATCAAAGTCATGTGTTAACTTTATATATATATATAGATATATACACAAATATATATATATACCAGCTTAAAATATTTTAATAGCAGCTTTTAAAAAAGGTTTCATATGTAATATTTGAAAACAAATCTTTCTACTCCTTTCCAACATGATTGCTGAAGACAAAATGTGTGCATAAGCAAATTTGGTGAAGATAGCTGATGGTACCATTAAAAAGATATAATGTCTGGGGTCTTAAAGGCTTGAAGTTAAACAAGTGACCCTCTAGCAGGGAAGCAACAAAGCCCACATGGAAGAAGCACACCAGCCTGTGTGATCAAGAGTTGTCGATGGGAATAGCTATTAGAAGTTTTAAAAAAAGCAATCAAATTGAGGAGAAGGAACGTGGACAAAGTGGAGACCCAAACCCACCTGTAAAAAAATTGGGCAGTCCCTTACAGAAGGGCCAAATGGAAGGGATGATTGTGGGGAACAGAAGGAATTCTCTTAAGTTGTCTCCCCAAAATATGTACCAAACTTAGCTGCTTAAGAGTGACTCGCAGCGAAAGTAGGTCAGAGGTTATTCTACTTGACATTGGCCATCTGTAGTGGCTAGACCATTAGTCTGACTCACCCTGAATAAGACCCACTCCCTTCTGATAAGGATAATGGTGGTCTATTCACTTGCAGAGATACCAGAGAGGGCAAACCCGCCCAAGGGTGACCAAGGTTAGTTAGCCATTATCAGCTGTTTAGATCAAGCAGATACCACTGTCTATTCCACAACCAATGTGGGCACACCCCTAGGTGATTCCTCTCCTATTGATTGTATTGCCTATGCTAATATCCCTCCTGGTGACTCAGGCTATTGTCCACTATCAGGGAACTTGCATGCCTCCCAGAATAGTAATGGTCTGTTTTGTTATGTGAGACATTAGAGCGATCAAACTTGTTCTAGAATGAATTGTATTGCCCCTTTCTGTGATGTATGATTACGATGCGTGGTTAGCAATAAATAACGAAGCTCCCTGGTACTCGAGAGGGTGGCTGGCCAGGAGGGTGGCCAGAAGGTGACTAAGGAGGACGAAGCAGCGGCTTCTTCTCTGACGGCTAAGCCCCCTCCATGAGGACCATCAAGCCGGGCGGAGGTGAGATATGTTACCATGAATTGCGTCTGACTCCATTACTTGACTCTATCCTTTAACTCTCATGCTCTCTATGACTTTACTATAATCTCTACTTATTATCGCTGTACAATTGCGCCTACCAAACCTGTGATGTTTTGTGGGGTTCCCTCTTACCCTTAACCCCACAGATGATAAATCCAGAGTGTGGTATTAACACTGATGAAACATATGACTATCCTCTAGTTCTTTAATATTTCTTCCCCTTACTATTACGGTCTTTGTGTTACCTTATTAACCTTGTTAGACCTGCGTATGTTACCTCATTAACCTTGTTAGACCCGCGTATGTTCATTTCTATAATTAAGAGGTTTCAGTGCATGAAAGGCAAGATAGATTACCCTTTGGAAACAGTAGCACTAGTAAATTATTCCCTGAGCATGTGGGAAGTGGAGGAGGGAGAGACGGGGGAGCCAATAGTAAGGATGACTGTATAACCCCACTTGAAGGAAATAGATAACAGAATTTCAGGTGAATGGATACATGGATGGTGTTAGATACAGCAAATAATAATATAACATAGATATGGCAAGTAAGAATATATAATATAATAATAAGGGTTCGTGGGGGGTAGGTTGGAGGAGAGAAGGAATAAAGGGGAGCTGATAGCAAAGAGTTCAGGAACAAAGAAAATGTGTCGAAACTGATGGTGGTAGCATTTGGACAATTATGCTTGCTGTAATTGAAATTATTTAAAAAGATGAAAAACAATCTTTCATTGGTTCAGCAACTTTGTAAAGCATCTTTCATTTGCTTAACATGATGCAGAATTTTTCTTATGTTTCTATACCGTTTATAGTAGAAAAGAAGAAAGAAACGATAACAGAGTCAGCTGGTCGGCAACAGAAAAAGAAAATAGGTAAGATGAAATGTTGGTCTAAACAAAATTTAGGTTTTCTTCCCCCCAAAAGTACATTTTTAGATCATGTAAATGAAGTTGTTAATTGTGATAAATCACACTTGTATAATTTTACTGTTTACAAAGCACATATTTACATTATCTCACTTGATTTCTATAACTCCTTTGTGAGGTAGATAAGGATATGTTCAAGCAGCTGCTCTTTTTTTTTTGTTCTTAGCTTTGATATAATTCCGTTTTAGTAAAATAATGTTGACAATCATGGCTTTTTTTAAGTGAGTTTTTTAAAAGCTTTTTATTGTGAATTAGGTGGGGGTTTACATATCAGACCATCTTTTTGCATTCAATCACTTGAACAATTTATCAATGACCCTATGGTTTGTTTGCTTTGACCTCCCCTCACTTCCTTTTTCCCCATCTTTTTTTTCCCCCTCCCATTTTCTAATAAGAATCATCTTCAATTGCTGAAACCCTGGTGGGGACTGAGCATGATAGTGGGACAGAAGGAAAGTCAAGGGAAATAGAGGAAAGAGCTGGGAGG